CGTCGCCACTAAATGGAGCTTCAGCAGTTGCGGACTCGCGGGCATCCTCATTGGGAGATCAAGCGAATGCTGTGGCAACTTCCACTGCGACGGCAAGCGCTGTCGGAGGCAATGCGAATGCAAATGCTAACGCAAATGCCGTCGCCAATGTACTCGCCAATAGGATTCCGTTCCCTGCGGGAAAGTAGTCGAAGTAACCAAGGGCGCGTCCAAGCATTCATGTTTGAGGAGCGCCATGTGGGGAACGAGCGGAGTGGAGCGTTATTTCGACGCTGGAAGACCCCTTGACAAGACATGTCTTTCCGAGGACAATCGCACCCAGGGGTGCGGTGGGGTCGGGCGAGCTGCATGGCGTTGTGGAAATATGATACGGTTTGGAAAGCACACCCGGCTGCAGCAGTATCCCTTGTGTCCGCGATATTCAGCAGTTGCTGCAAATGGTACCATTTCAGTGCATGGATTGGGCAATGCATCTTGGCGATGGGTGGCTGGCTCATTTTACCATGAGCTGCCATCTGGGGGTGAGCAGAATTTTTTCTAATCGTCAACGAGCTGTTCGTAGTCTGGTGGTGTGTGAGCATTAATGGCACCTTGGTTGAAACCTCTGGGGCCCATTTGGATAGGGGGGACAGCGCAATGGTATCCAACGCGACGGCACAGCCCCTATAGTGTGAGAGAGCAAAAGTTGACTTGTAAGCGGGGAGCAGAATTGCAAACAGCAGCAAACGAGTCTACAGTCCATGGGAATAAAATTGTGTGACCACCGCGAATCTGAAGACATGCCAACAGCGACAGATGCCGTCATGCTAATGGAAGCAAGCAAAGGTATCTTGCTGCTGCTTTCAATGTGCATGGCTGTTTCGAAGCCGTTTTCGACTCCAAACACTTGTGCGTACTATGTTGGCCACGGCAATAACGTTCCTTGTTCCATTTGTTTGTTTCCCTTACAAGCAGAGCCACGTGCAATAATTTTCATGCATGCGTGTGTCCTTGGATGAAATGCATGAACGTTGCTGATCAATTGCAGGAATGTCCATTGCTGAATTCGGTTAAACGGGTTCATCCACCACCGGTCCACGCCAGGGTTCCCACAGTTCATGGAAAGCCCATTCTGAGGCGAGTGAGTTTTGATAGAAATGTACAGATTCGCCCGGTGTCCTTAAACCATCGTCGAAGTTGCATATCCTGGCTATAGATATGTATACGCATACGCGGGATATGGCCATATCCTGGATACGTAGACCCAGTAAATGGTGCCGCATCCTAATCGATATCCAGGATGTGGGAGGCTTAACCCACGGTGCATGGCTGCCGCATCGAAAGGCCCAGTTTTGGCTGGTCACAGCCTGACTTGGAGAGAAAGCCCAGATTTAGGCATTGCGTGGGGGACTCAGGTGGATATTTCAAGATTCGGGCATATTTCAGACTGGCCTGATACAAACTGAATGGAAGGTGCCCAACAGCCACACACTTTCTCAAAGCAAGTTATCAACGGCATGAATTTCGCCAAGACAAAATGCGCAACTTGAAGTTGGCCATGCCGACTCCACATGCAGTCCCACGCACCGTCTGCCAACTGTGCAGTGACCGTCACGTGTGTCAGCCGCTCGCCAACTGGCAAGGACACTTCTTTTGGTGTGTTATCATTGGTTCTTGGCATTAGGAGTGAGAGTAAATTCTTTTTGACTCTGTTCGTTTAAACGTTATATTTCAAAGGACTGATCATGGACACTGCTTTGCTGGGGCAGAATGGGCAGCTGACGGCTGCCTCATTGCCTTGTTCTGTGAAATGAACGATGATGATGACAGCGGCATTCATCCATTTGACACCGTTTCATTTGGCGAGCATGATGGTCTCCGCGTATGACTGGGACCAGCAGGCCCGCGACCTGAGACCCGCGGCCCGTTTGTCGTGTGCCCAACCCGCCACCCATCAGTCAATCTGGCTCCCCCACATGACCAGCGCAGCAGCCCCCACAACGACACAACCCTGCGCTCCCTCACGCCCCTGAGGCCCTCGACACCTCGCGCGGGGCCCAGCCCAGTCTGAGGCCGCCTCGATCGGGCGCGTCGCCGGCGCCGCAAACGCCCACGCAGCCATTCCCATCGAGCCCCTTCCGCCTTTCGGAAATCGCGCACTCGCATAAAAATTGCACAGGTGCGTGGATCGATGCCAGCGCCGGCCGTGGGGCTGCGCGCAACAAATCACATTTCCTATCGCCTGGGGCGCCGTCGGCAACGTCTGGGTTGATGGATTGTCGGACCGCCGTGCCACAAACTGTGGTGCCCGCGGACGCCTGGCAAGCACAGAGGGGCATTTCAGGCCCCCCCGCCGTTTTCAAGGCGGTGAATGGCCCGAACTTATTCACAGCCGGGGAGCCTCATCGGCATCGGCAGCGCAAGACCCGCCGGGGGTCAGTCCAGCTGTTGTGACCAGGACGGGCGCCTGGCAGTTGCGGCGCGGAGTTTTGGGCCGTCGTGTTGCATGCGTCCGGGAGCGTTCGAAGGCCTGGGTCGCGCCGTCGTTGAAGGGCAGCCCGTTGGCACGCGCGCGGGCGGAGCGCCGGCGACTCGGCGGTCGCGGCCTGATGTGTTGGCGGCCCATGATCCCGGCGACTGTGGTTTGGCGCAACCCCACGTTCCCCTGACCAAGTGCTAACGTAACGACGTCGGGTCGGGGGTTTCTCCACGAGCGCTTGCATTTTGCGGAATGTGGACGCGCGTTGGGGCGCCTTGCAAGGTGCTGACGTGGGTATCCGCAACGGCGAGGTTGTTCGAAACAGTGGTGTCCAGGTGGAGAGGCGCGCTTCGTTTGACGTGAAGCACGGAGTTCGCCAAAAAGGCTATTTTTCACAAATTTTCAAGATATTGATAAGTTTTCTTTTTGAATATTCAGAAAATGGAATGCATTGTGAGCTGCAATTGATGCACTTGCCCGTTAGAATATTGTTTCACTGGGGACTGTTTACATTGGAAGTGTCAGCAAACAAGGCAACCAGCATTCAAGTGATCAGCTCCCACACCTGCCTAGAGTTTTCGATGTCCTTGACAGTTTACTCTGCTGTGCCATTGTGTACCATTTCCGGTCAGAGCCAGCTCCATGATTGTGACTGGATTAGTGGGGCTCAAACTTGGCAACGAAGATGCATGTCTACTGGAATCCTGTTCCAATGGTAACTCTACATCACCATCTGTGGAGCCACATGGCCCACAGTCCGCATCAAGAGGCGTAAAGCTAAGTCATGGACCACATGTTCAAACAATGTCTAAACCAGAACAGCGCTGTGTGGGGCTCGTCCAGACCCTCAATGTTTGTCACCTCAACTACCACGTGTAGACTTGCCAAGACAAAGAGGCCTATTGCCATGACACTAGTGTCACATCGGCACTTGAAATGCCGTGACTAGTCAAAACCTTGTACCAAGAACTGCTGACATATATCCTGTGAGGAAAGAACTGCAGAGAACGATGAACAGATCGGAATGTGTGCCTCACTACCAAACCGGACATCATGAAAGTGGACTGTGTGCATGTTGGCAACCGACATAAAAGGGACACATTGAGATCAAAAGAAGCCACAGAGTATCGTAACTGATGTGCTTGCCCACAAGTTCACCATGGCTTGTAACAATGTGTGTCAGAGCATCACCGCATGCACTCTCTGGCATCGCACAGCTCTCCAAATGCTATTGACACCTTGTAGAACTGCAGTGCAGGTGGAGCTGGCAAGCACAGTCATGCTTTGAGGGTTGGTATGCCACTTGGCACAATTCTCTTTCATAACAAGCTCTAAAGGCCGAAGATTGGGAAACAACACAAGTGATGAGAGCACATATGAAGCCTGTTGACTCCTGCTGTGGACGACACTTGTAGATCTCAAGCCAGATTGGCCCTTGAAGTGGCCTATTTGGCTGACAAAGCTGCTCAGGGTGCTGTTGCAGGTGAGGACACAATGGCAGTAGTGGCAGCTTGTGAGGGCTATCGTTGTCCATTGCCCCACATGAAGTACAAATACTAAAGTTTGTTTTGCCTCTGTCCCAACCCATTAAATGTTCCAGATATGTCCACTGGATAGAAGCTCACACCCCGCAGAGAACCAGCATTAACGAGCTTAAACCCATGGAAAATGGGAAAACAAAGGAATGCTTACCATGAATTTAATTCTGAGGCGATTGAAAAGACTAACTCCTGGTGTGAGAACATTGTTCACAATTGAAAGATAAGGTCGAGAATCTCCCCACAGAACAGCTGAACTTGCGAAAGCAGTTCACACTTGTCCAGTTTTTACAAAACTGTGTCCCAATGCCTGGTCCCAGTGTCTTCTTCTCTCAGTTGTTGCGAATTGGTAGTTTGCACGTATAGATGGCCATGCTTGACAAGGCAGTAGTAAACCCAGCGGTGCGTTTTGTCCAGTACCTTCTTGTGCAAATGCCGTCAGTGCTTTTCTGATGTGACCTTTTGGAATTGATCACCACGACAGTTGATACAAATTGCCCCACTGCCGTTCTTCACCTTGCAGCTTTCTGTAATGTGGAATGCATCCTGTGTTTAACCAGCCCTTTTCATAGGCTTCCAGTTCATTGTTCCTTGGGAGGAGGGGCCAATGCTTATGTGATATTGTGCACGATTGATTGCTTTGGTGTGAAGGCCTTGCCCTGTGGTGTGCAGCACAAGGATTTGCAGTTCCGTTCTTCTTGCAACTCAGCTGTATCTCAAGTGGTACAAGCAGAGCAGGACCGTGGACATACATTAGCAAAGTGCCACCATGTGCGGATTGCACATCACTTTGTTGACTATCCCTTGCTTGGGCAATATGAATCCCATATGAAAACTCTAGGACGAAACACTGCTGTGCAGACAGCGCCATCCATCACCAAAGTGCACGGAAGGTCAACGTGTTCACTGTCAAAGCACCAATCAAGAATAAACTCATCTTGTGTTGCTGTCACAAATTGGGCCTAGACACCAGTCCCCCTGTGCCAGGCACATTCCACGAGGCGATGGCACGTGAGCTGCCCGATGTCCCTGAACATTCAACCGGAAGACATGGTGGTCACTGGGAACCGTTGGAAGAATCGAGCACATTTGATTCTGCATGCGATGTCTCCCAAGGACCTCAAGCTTCTGGCAGGAAATGCGCCCTTTCCAGAAAGAACCTGTCGGAGGGCTTTGAGGGGCACAACCGAATGTTCAGCCTTTGGCTGCATGTTCTAACGGGCGTCGTGGTGAGTGGACAAAGCCGGAACTGCAGCAGATTGGAGAACGCACAGTCGCAAATAACAACATGTCAGACCAGCGCCCAGAAACTCCCGATGGATGCAACGACTGTACTTGCTATATTCGCACGTGTGGATACACACCCGGTTTCGGAGTCTACAGGGAGTCGTTGAGCACGGGACGCGGCGCTAATAGTCCCACAGCATGACATGAGTCACTGCCAGCTGCCTGTATGTGGTGGTAATCCTTCTTTATTTCCTGGCGAGTGGTGGTGAAATATCACAGTATATCCAACCCTTCCGCATCAAACAACTTTACATTTACGCTTTTGTTCCGCATTTTTGCAGGTCATTGTTTTTGTTATTTTTATGTTGCTTCGTAAAAAGTTTCATTGAAAGAGCGTTATTTGTTACTTCCTCCGCCCCATATTAATTGTCGTCTATGACTTTGATGCGTTATTTCTCCAGCATGCCGGCACTTGTTTTCAATAAAAATTCGCCTGCGGTTGTGTCATTGAGTTGTGAGTACACCATGAAAATTTCATGTCAATCCATTGAGTATTGAGGATTTGGCAGTATTTTGTATCAAGGGTATTTTTACATAGTAAATCTCAATATTTGGGGTTGGAAATGACCAAAATTTACCTTTGCCTTGCCCTCAAAAGAGCCATGTTTCACTTTTTCTTCTTATAAATTGATAGTCAAGGTTTTTGAGATGCAATCTTTTCGATTTTGACCTTGTTTTGAAATTCGGAGGCTGTCCTTATAACAAATTTAGCCTTTCAAACAGACGACAATTAATATGGGACGCAGGAAGTATATGATCTTCTACGCCAGAAAAGGCCAAGTGTTATGCTACTATACGAAAGGGTTGAGTGCACTATGTGGTACTGCTATCTGTTACCACGTCCAGGGTCGTCCCAGTGCGGTCCTTAGCAGTGGTCTGTACACTGCCTTCACGGCAGTGGTGACTACAGTTGCCCCAAGCTGACATTCGATACCGTTTCGCCTGAACGAAAAAGCAGTTTAAAGAAGTGCTAGCAGCCATGCTACCACATCAGTCCCACCGTGTTCGCATTTTGTCCTCCAGTTTTCAATCTTCGAGATGCTTCGTCGTCGTGCTAGATACGTTTGGTTATAAAGTTGCCCCACATCGCCTCCACCAGGAGGGATTCCCTGCCAGGAGAGCGAGACTTCCCAGTTGCGTAGTGGTTTGAAACTCAAACCATTCAAGCTTTAAATGTGGCACGTCTTATTTGTGCCTTCAATCGCGAAACCCTGATTCTGCAGCCTGGCCGGAAAGGAGCATGTGGTGGCGGTTCATGCTTGTGACATGCAGCATTTGAGTCAAAGTGGTCTGTGCATTTTCTGCTCTGCTACGATATACGGCTGTGGTATTCTGCTTCGATTGTCTTATTTATTATTTATTGACTCTCTGGGTCGACACATGCTCTGTGTGGAGTTTGGACGACATCCATCTAAGCAGAACAGCTGAAGGCTGGTCTGCTTCCCAGGTCTTCGTTGTTGTCATCGTCAACGACCCAATCTACGACCAAATTAGCGGCACACTCACAGCAGCCAAAATCCAGATTGGCGTTTGGGAGGAGATCAACGAATATTTCGGTTTCTTCGTGTTTGGGCTGTTCGCATTTGGAGTGCTCTCGCTCAACATCGTGAACTACCGCTGCTGGACAGCACGCAGGCGCGATGGGTTCGTGGCAGTTGCAATATTCTGCCTGATGTGCATGCATGGACAGATCGGAGCCACTTCCTTGAGTCCATTGCTCGAAGAGCCCACACCGGGCAACGTGTTTGTAGCCGCTTCTATTTTGATTTGCGCGCTGGTTGTGGACCAGTTCTTCGTCCGGCAGTTTCTCTCGCCGTGTTGGAGTTCAAGCGACGATCCGGACTGCCGGACCGAAGCAGGGACGACGCAAGAGGAAGAGCAGTGGAGCTTTGTTGAGTTGCTCGGCATGCTCTGTGAGGGAACGAAAGCCGTGGTGATGTTCTACATGGGCCTGGCATGGGGCGCCGTTGTTTGCGCCTGGCGCCTCGTTGGCAGTGCCAGAAGGCTGCCCCAGTGGACTGGACACCAGTTCGAGCGAGTTCGCCACGCCGCCAGGGCTCGTTGGGAATCTGTGAGGGAGGATGACTCATATCTTCATTCTGTGTGGATGATATCTGCCCTTGGGGTGTCCGGCGTCGCCATCGGCTTCTTCTCTCTGACCATACCTCTCGGATGGGCGGAGGCCGTCAAGGGCTACGAGCGTCACCGCGACTGCCTCGGGAGGCACAAGGGGCTGTACCAAGACTTGCTTTTGTTTGCGGGCTACGGGGACAGAGAGTACTACTACGGCCGGATTTTTGAAGGGGGGGAGACCAACGACACGGCCGTGGAGTCGTTTTACCATGAGTTGGCCGAAGGCGCCGCCACTGCTTCCGTGCACCAGGGAAATGACTGCAAGTGGCCGAGATACTTGAACGAGTTGTACTCTGTGGTGGACACCAGGCTTGAGGACGGCGCCCACAGCGGCAGAGACTCCCGCGACCCAATCTGGGCGTTCAAGGACAGCACCACGGGCAAGTTCGTCCTGTACGTGGACGCCACCATTCGCGCCTCCGGGGTTTCCGTCTGGGTCGGGTTCGCCGTGGCCGCCCTGTTTGGCATCAAGTCCCTGCTGTCCGTCCTGGCGCGCTACAAGTTCCTCACGCAGATGCTGGTCCAGGTGCTGCCTTCCAGGCTGCCCAACGGGCGGCAAAGGCTGAAGTGGGGGAGCGTCGAGCGGGCGCTGGCCTCAAGGGACTCCCTGGACGTCCGACACACGCGGTGCGCCACCTGGGAGGAGCTCAACGATGAGTACTCCCTCAGCTCGGCCTCCCTCTTCCTCGGCGTGTGGGTCAGCACGGCCGTCTTCCAGCTGATCCTTATCGGCGGCCTGGCGACGTGGGTGCTGGCGTCGCTGATTGCCTGGCGACGACTGTGGGCGCTCGTGGAGGGGCTGGTTCCCTTACTGGTGGTCTACGTGCTCCTGCTACTGTTCGACTGGCTCGTGAAGATATCCGGGCCCCTGCTGGACCGCGCAGTCTTCGAGGACCACCAGCTGAGGAGGCCCGTCCTCTGGGCGCTGTACACGCTGGTGCGCTCCGCGCTGGGCCTCGCGGTCGGCCTGCTGTTCGCCCTGTGGCGCCTGCTGCTGCTCATGGTCATGGGCTTCGTCAACTTCAACAGGCTCGACAAGCTGGTGCTGCCCCTTCAGCTGGATCAGGGACACAAGAGCCTGTTCTCCATGGCGATGATGAACGCCATGCTGCAGAAGGATGCCGAGGGGAGCGTCGCGACGAACGGCGCCAACAGCAACGAAGGCGGGGACACCGATAGTGCGAATGTGGGGGAGGCAGCGTCTAGCTCGGTGTCGGGAGTGTAGAACTGTAGCCCAATGTGTGTCGACCCTCGGGGGGTCAAAATTCAACATGATGAACTCTGACTCTTGCATCCGTGTTTCGGGGTTCTGGGGATCCATTGAGCAGATCAACTGTACTGCGGTTATTTTGAGGCGCCGCATTTTGCGCGCTGAAAAGTTACGATTGCGGTTTTTTCCATGATGCGGCCGTTATGACAGCAAATGCTTTGAGGCAGAAACAACGCAACTCGCCTAATTCCACCGATTAATATAGGTTATTTCAAATTCCTGCCCTGTTCACTGTCAGAGCGGCGAAAGCAGCAACGGTCCTCTCCGTCACAGTCAAAACAGCAGGGATGCACTCTTCTTGACAAGCAGAACCACCGGGTTTTCCTCCTTTTGGATTTCCTTTTCTGATTTCGCAATCTTTCTAGCAGCATGTATTCCGCAAATATCTTGGGTCGCGTGACGCCACATGCGCAATATCGCCGGGCACGACGCCGCAGGTTTGGGGTTTAGGGGAATCAGCATGACATGGGGTGCGTCACGCGACCCCAAATACGTGCACTGCTCTCTGCTGCCCATGCTGTCTCACAATGTGGCCAAACGCGCCCTCCGCACAGAATCTCGCTTCGAATGTTCACAAGATTCTCCCAGCTATCTCTGACATCAACTGCTTCCCTTAAGGCCCAGCGCCTCGGCATCAACAGCAAACAATTGCATTTTAATCCCCTGCCTGTGACACGAATGAATATACAACGACCACCACGTGATTCGGCGATGCAAAGGTCGGCGGCTCGCTCTGGCCGTCATCCCCGGAGACAGCGCAGTCAAATCACCCCTGAGCCGGCAGCTGAGCCACTTCGACAGCATCAGCACCACATTAGCTGAGGGCTCGCTGAACGACCAAACCTTTGCCCCTCTAGCGAGCTGGCTCTTCGTGAAAAACAGCTTGTCGCGCCGACGACGACCAACAGAAACAGCAGCGACAGCAAGGGGAAGCTTTGAGCGGGTAGCAAACGTCCCACTGCCAGTCAGCCATGCAAATACGCCTGTAGAAACTCTCATAGCTGCCGCTCAGAGCGCCTCAACCGGTCATGGCTGCTTCTCAACGGTCGGCGAAGTCAAAACAGAAGTCAGGTCCACGGGTTCGGGCTGCCTTGTCCACAGCACGTCGGTGTATGACACGGAAAAGGTTTCTCTCCGCCTCGACAACGCTGTGCAGCAACGAAACCTGGGAAATTCTGGCTGGCAGCTAGACCACGCTGGAGGTGCTGATCTTGAATGGCAAGGAAACGCCTTGAAAACACGGCCTAGACAGGCCGCGACCTTCGAAAAAGTCGAGGTCTATTGCGCTCAGGCCGTGGCGAGCGTTGCGCGCACGGCCAGGGAAGTCAGGCAGCCAGGCCGAACGCCTAGACCGCCGCGCGAGACACACACGCACCCCACGCAGTCGTTCTTACAGCTGCCATGCCGAGTGCAACAATGGAGAGTCCCCCACGGCGCTGTACGCGACCCTAGTACTTGCAACATTACACTCTTGAAAGCAACGTGTCATAACCGACCACGTCACTCCTTCAAAGCCAGCGTAGTCTTACCAACCAACCAACTGTCTGACCGAGTAGAATCGATCCTTACCGGAGCTCGCCTCCGCGCCCTGCCAGACCCTCTGGGGTGGTTGACAAACTCCACCGGCTGCTTCTCCGCCCAACGCGATGCTGCCGGCGATTGAAAGTCGAGACGAAGCCCCGACCGACTGGGGCAGCGCTTTCACGAGAGGGGCGGAGGCAGGCTGGCACCGACACGGCAACCAGCACGACCAGAGGCGCACGGATCAGACAGGAGTCAACGGACTCGGTGAGGCTCTCGCTCACCACACAGCGCCTCGTATTTGTATTAAAACCAGTGCATCAGTACATCGTTACTGTCTTTGGTACTGTTCCCAACGTTCCCCAGCACAACTCCGACTAAAAGAAGACTCTTTTCCATCCAATACACATCATAGTGCGCCTGTCATGGATCAGATCGCCCCTTGATCCTACCCTGTAGCATGGCAGCGGCACGCCCCAAACACGGCCTGGCCACGCCCCAACCGTGGCGCCGTCACATTCCGACCCTGACAACTCATCAACAGTTAGTCACTTCTATTCCTGCCTGCCCGAGGATCAATCCTACCTTACTGTGACGCTATCCCATCGCTGACTGAACGTATCAGTAGCTCCTTGTCAGTCAATCGTATGTCTGTAGCTCGGTAGCCTCTGGCATCGTATCGTCGTCCTCTCGCGGCCGTATTTCCCACCTGTGCCGTCGCTCGGTACGCCTCCGATGATGGACCTCGATGCGACATCGAGCCCTGGCCTGTGCTGCAGTCTCCCTCTCCTGTCCAGCTCCCACCCCGCAAGTCACGTCCTCGTGCGCGGATGCCCGACGCGGGTGATGCCGCTACCGAATCAACCACTCATGATCCGAATCTCTGAGGGGTCGCCTCCGCCTTCCAGAACCGGTACGGGTCACCCACGGGGCACAAGTTCCTGTGCTAGAAACTGACATTTTCACCATCTGTCTGCCACCGCTCCACGCTCCGATAGGCCGTACACACCATCGTGGGACACTGCGTCTGACCGCAAGCAGGCGGTGTGACTGCGATGGGCACCGCGCACTGCCGTGCAGGCTGCAGACGCAGATGAGGCTCTAGAATGTTGGGAATCAGTTCTTGGGCCAGACGCAGAGGTAGTCTCAGTCGGACAGCTCATCACTGGACACAATCCACGCCGCCAGGGCAGACAAATGTGACATTTTGGCGATCGTAGTCTGTCTTGTACTTGGTTACACCTTGTAAAAAAGGTCCCGTGTCCTCCCAGTACTTCACACATCGTTTAGTCACAATTGTGCCATGACGTCGGCACGCCCCAACCATGGCCTGGCCACGCCCCAATCATGGCGCTGCCACGCCCGGACCATGGCTTCCTGATGGTTAAAGTCTTAAACTCTAATCCTAATAGATGCACTTTTTATCCTATGGTTTCTCCACTTAAAACTTCTTCCCCTTTGTTATGAAATCACCACTTTTTGTCCTCTTTCCAGCCGTTTTGAATTAGTTGTTCAATTAACGGCCGATGCATCAATGGCCTTGATTTGAGATGATTTCAACACCCCGAGTTTGAAATGCCCCCCAATGAAACAGCATCTTTCGATTCCGCGGAATCGTTCCGCCACACTGCCATGTCACCACAAATCACACTGGTGCGCCCCACTCCCTGGCCACGTAATGCCCCACGGGGCCGTCTTCCCATCAAAAGCTACGTGGCGTCTCCGCGCCCCTCCTGACTCCGTCTCACAGCGCCTTATGGCAGGCCGCACAGGGGGCAACCCCCCTCCGTTCAAATGGCACCATCGCACATAAAATGCCATATCTTGCTCACTGAGGATCCGTTTGGAGTGAAATTTTTGAACATGATTTCTTTAAACACCTCTACATACCTTGGGATAGCAACAGCATGTTGCAAGTATGTCTTGCAACTGATTGATCCCTTCAAATCCAGATTCGACCAAATTTCACAAGTCCATTTTTCTGACTGATGGCACACAGCCTTCCGTGACGAAACATCTTGCTCTAAGCGAGGGGCACACTTCTGAGCAGCTTGCATGCCACAGGACGCCAGAATCCTCCAGCGTCATGCCAGGATGGCAAACCCAATTGCAGTACATTTGCATGCCTCTCGCATCAGCCTCCCATTCCGCGCATCCAGGCGCCCGGGCTCTCTCGAACTCACGGCGCTCTGCCACACAGCCGACCACCCAGGTTGAAAGCCTGCCCGTTTGCCAGAAACCGCCCAGCAACTTCGACCTCGATCCGTCTCAATCGCTGCCATGTACTGGAGCTGTGTCCGGCATCACAACTGCATTGCTTTGGGTTCTTTGGGCATCCAGTGAGGCTGCCGTGAACTCTCTTTGTCACTGACGTCAACTGTTTGCATTCCGAGTGCCTTGGGCTTGTGTTACTTGAAAATTCTGGAGCACCCCTGGTTCATGTTTTGTGGTTTCTGCCTCATTGAGCGCCAACCTACTGGATGACAATCAGTGTGATGAAGGTGCTGAGGCTGTCACATCCCCTCTGCATCATTTCTGTATCTCACGGGTCGCCAGCTGAGTGATATCCTTAACTTACTAGTCTTTTGATGAGCCCCATTTATTGGCGACCCGAATAGCGAATAACCCACACCGAATGAGGAGATGATCACAATGGGTGCAAGAAGATTACGAGATGGAGCACCGAATTCGACACAAATGTCCTCCCTCCAGCTAGTCTCCGGTCCCTGCTGACGACCATCACAATTTTGGCGTAAAGAGGGAGCCAGGGTTGGAGAGAGCTTGGCAATCAACCCTTCAGCCACCCAACCAGTTCATTTCCAACCCAGTGGCGCCACAGGCTATTTATGCACCGCGTCTGCCTCCTTCCAACAGATGCTGGGAAGTTGCGCGCCCGCCTATCGCACATGTGAGCGCACACCTAACAAGCTGAATAAGAACTTGTTCGTGATCCACCAGCATGTCTCTCCCTCCGGTCGTAGCCCGTGTAACTTGGACGTTTGCGGTTTCATGCACACACCCGCTGGGTACGAGCTGAATCTGTGAGATTTGCCTCCGATGCTCGCAGGTGCGGAGCTGGACAAGGCGCGGTAATTGCTTGTCGGACAGACATTGCCCGTTACAGAAGAGGTCTGGAGGAGTCCTGACTACGGACTGGGTCCTCTGTGTGTCAGTTGGTGTGTCGCGGGGGCAATCCCATTGCAAGACGCAGTTCTGGCGAGTATCAAGTGTAGCGTCGCCACGCCCGTCACCAACTGTCAATCGCCAGATGTTGTGCGATACGTACCGCACAGCGTGTATGCACGCGCCTGGCAGTGAACTCAACGACCAACATTGTTGCAAGTTCTCCGATGCCGCCGTGTAGGGATTTGGCTGTGGGGTGCCATCAGTTCCCATGGGACTTGCGAATGGCTGCACGCATGGATTCAACCTCCCCACTTGCTGTCAGACTTCGAGACCTGCTCGAACTGTTGCGCTGGATCGCCTTGCCCTCATAGGAACTTGGCTAGTTTGGCGCATGCTGTGGATGTCTGCATCTGCACATTTCCTTCTTGAGCAGCCTCGAACGGGAGCGCGGCTTGTGCGCAACGAATGCACAAGGTTTCAACTTCTGCGTTTGAAGTTGCCAACGGTGCAGGGGGCTCTAGTGGGTCATTCCTGTTACTTTTTTGTCCGGTTTTTATTTGGCAGTTCCGCTGTCGGGTGGGAACTTTACCCCACTTTACTGTGCCATGTTGAGCGCGTAGCGAGGATGTGGTCAAGCATCGAGCCTGCTTGCTCAGCCCACCTCTTGCATCAGCATGCCTCTGCAGAGGCGGAACCCACAGCAGCGTACTGGAAATCCGAAGTACCATGGAAACAACAGAAACTGAGACATTCAGGCGGTGCGTCTGCAGCTCATCTCTCTCTGGTACCACAGATTTGCAGCCAACCTGCTCACGAGTGTTGACAACATCAGAACGTGGGCGCAGCAGCAGAGGGATGGAGGCCATGGTCTTGAGCACACCAGAACATGGCCTTCTATCCCTGATGGACGTCCCATCACAACGGGTGTCACGAACCTTATCCCAGCATGCCCCTCACAGATGCAGCTGCTGCAATGATGGCACCATTGAGCGACTCTGGCTCCATGGCCCGCGCCTGGTCGCGAGGCAGGCGCTCCGTCCGCGTTTGATTCTCTCTGCTTCCAGTTCGCGGTGCTTACATGTCAAAGGGACCATGCCGTGCCTTCCACATGTAAAAATTGTTCAATTCGAGCACGATTCCATGGCCCCCAGAGTGCTCAAAACGTCACGTGCCAGCAACGGGATTTGCGAGTGATGGCACCCATACACGCCCACCATCACACAGCGACCATGCTATCTGCATACGGTGCATGAGCCACTATCTTAACCTACTGCGCCAACTGCCGCTCCCAGCCAGCAACGGCTGCTCCCTTCCTGTCCGCATTATTTGCCATTGCGTCCAAAACTCTGCCACTAGACTGTGCGCTAAAACTAGTGACGGAAATGCTATGTGGTTCGCTGCACCCCCCAAGGGACTGCATGCTGCCAGAACAAACGGAGACCCAATCTTGCCACAAGGACTCCTCACATTCTATCCGCAAGTCCAGTTTTGCCTGTGGTTGGGCTGCACGCCATTGTGCACAGCGTGCACGGGCGCCTTTTAGCCCCCGGGCATCGGCATCCCGCCGTACACGAGAGGCAGGCGCCATGACTTGTGCATCATGATCCACAGCAGCAACTCCACCAGCACTGAGTGTGGCTTTATTGCCCCTGTGGCAGGGCCCCTATCGCAAACAGAAAATGTTGTCTCCAGCAGATGCCGCTCTCCTTGTGCGACGTTGCTATCTTAAAAAGCAAATAAATAATTCCCTGCAAACGCTCCAAAACCATTCGCTAGTCCCGATTCCTTGCCTTGCACGAGCCAAGCCAAAACAGGGCGCAAGACAGGTGTGAGCCAATTATCTTTCGGCAGATCGTTGCCTGCCTGAGGCCTGGCGGGTTCAGCACTAAACAACCCAGTGTCAGCTTGGTCCCGAAGCCCGGTGAAATACAATCCTGCATGCACCAGCACAGATCACGATCAGCTGACTCGAGGTCACAAGGTTGAACGAAGTCCCAACAGGTATCTGCATCCCTGAGGATGCCCTCAGCCCTGGTCATTTGTCGCATGTGGGTTCTGTAGCCATCCTTGTTTCCCTGCATTTGGTAGCCTCTGCATAATCCGCCAGTTGGTCACTGTGTCTTAGACAGCACTTAACTTGTCCTCTCGTTCCTGTGATAGACAGGATCCCAAGGGAAGGCAAACATCTCAAACTTGATGGTGACTCGATCTGTCATTTCCATTCCAGGGGCAAAGACAGCCATGAACTCCAATTCACAACTTTTGGCAGTAAACAGAGAATAACTGACAGCAAGACCAATGACTGGACATCTGTCAGTGCACAGCAACACAATGCTGGTATGTGCTAATGTCATGCTGGCCACACAGATCGTTTTAAGACCATCCTGAGACTGCTGTTCGTGTGGAAACATCGCTTTTCCAACACCCATGGAGACATGTCTTGACAACTGCTTTGTGCATTGGCCACCAAACAGCAACCTCAGCTGGCAAATATTCAACAGTACCTGATGTGTGCCTCTTGTCCATGTGCATTGGCTGTGTTTCGGTAAAGATCGATACGAAAGACCATGTTCTTGCCATCTTCAGACAATTGCACATGCTCCAGAATTCTGCCCCCCAAGGGGTCATTCCAGTCCAACCTGTCACCAAAAGCAGTAGACTGTCATTCACATGCCTTTCCAACGCAGCTGATGCAGGGAATCTGCAAAACGATGCTGAAAATCACCAAGGGCCAGCATATCTACAAATTTGCTTGTCTTTCTTCAGTCGTTAATTGCAATGCCAGCTGAATTGGCACATCAGCCTCACAGCACTTCAGGCAGGCTGACACCAATTTCGGTCATAAATGATTCAGGAGCAGAGCTGCATGCATCTCCCTCCTATCTGAACCTGTGGCTGCAAGGGTCTACGAGGTTGGGTAAACACAATGCAGATAAAATTGCAATCAAGGCATTCAAATCCTGTTGCTCACTGCTATCTGCATATCCAGCTGAAGCGACAAGTGCCTTGGAAAAGGATGTGCACAGAACAGGGCTGTGTTGTTGGCAGACAGCAGTGCATATTGTTGCAAGATATCTGACAAACTGCAGGTTTGGTTGACATTCGTACATGTTGGACGATTCCAGACACTTGTGGCTGTACCAGATTTTTAGTCGTTTTGGAAACAAGTCCCTCACTGGCATCACCACGTGAAGATGTCCATGTTTGGTGTACCAGGTTGCTAAAATCGAACACCAGCATCGCAAGTGTTGAATGCAGAGCCCGACACAGCAGAGTACAGGATAGCTGCCGTGGTGGAAATAGGGCAACAGGAAATGCAGGCGGCTTCAAAGATGTTCAACATCGCTTATTCCATGCTGTACTTTCTGCCACCAAATGAAATCTTGCCGTCACAAGCTACTACGCTTCGCCACCCCAATGCCCATGCAAATGCCAATCTCTGGACGGCACTGGCAGCTTAAAGCTCTGGACACAGTGTCTTACATCTAGCAATGTGACCAAGTGGTACACTAGCAAAACTATGCAACGTTGTTCCTGCAGTGTATATCTGCCACCTGTACATGCTACACCCACTGCCCCACCTCATGACCAGAATCTGCCGGCGTCGCTTCACAGAGCACATCGCCTGCCCCCTGCGCAAATCTCTCCTTCGGTGTGGCAACTTCTCCCCTGACCATGGCCGACGTTCCACAATGTTCACAAGCCCCAGGACCCTTGCAGTATAGACCAATTCATCTTGCGTGATTTCAAACTGAACAACCAACAGCACAGGCATTTGTAAGCTCTCACAAAACATGTTTTCAGCTGACTGATTTGTACAAGACGCCAAGGTCTTGGCTGCTGCATTTGTTCTTGGACCAACTGGCACCTTTGTTGATCTGTTGGGGTTCCATGGCTGGCAGAAACTGAGGGAGGAGATATTTCTACACGTGACAGCTATCCTCATAATACAACAACAAGATAAGTATGCAATGCAACACTTGAGTGGCTGCTGCTCAATGCAGGCTGTACAGGTATGAGTTCACTTTTGTTGGCAAATTCGTGGAAAAGTGCCATCTGTGCCAGCCCACATTGAGCTGAAAGCAACACCCACAAATCCTACACTTGTTGCAAGGCCATTTGCACAGAGTGTAGCTGGGATGAGAGATGAGAGGGATGCTGCACAATATTGGCAATTCATACTGTGCCATGGGACATCATCCAGGTGCTGTCGAACGAGAGTGGGAAAGCATGTCGCAACACTGTTGCCAGTGAACCATTCATTGCATCACCTTTATTGTATCAGAAGAATCCAGAGCCTTCCGAAACACAAACCCAAGCTGCATGATCTTGCACATTCCGTCATAATCATCACTCATGCTTCGGTCAGCCTTCCAGGTGCCAGCAAAACGCGAAATCTCGGTCATCTCCTCTGGACTTAGTGGTCCGGTCACCAGGTTTAGCTCGTCCCCTGGTTCCTCTGTCAATAGGTGGTCCACACGGCCAAGGTCTCTCCTGCTCGACAGCCTTCTGGCAATCTTTGCCAGAGCTGCTTTCAGGCTGCCAGCCCTTGAAAGGGAATCTCTCGAGCTGAGAGAGGAACGTCGGCTCAACGGGGCCTGGGCATCCTCCACCTCATCATCATCCACATAAAGGTTGCTTGGGTCCAAGGCAGCCTCTTCCATGGAATAGAAGATGTCATCTTCCCTGCTGTTGATGGTGATTTCATGCAGCTCTGGCACGGGAGTTACAGTTGGCTGCCTCAGCAAATTGATCCGTGAATGGGACCAGTAGGGTTCCATCGACTCGCCTTGGGGTCTGCCGTGCGGAGGCAGCGGTGGAGGTGGCGGGGGCGGTATGTCCTGTCGAATGCCAGGCACCGCCGTTCGCTGTTGCCTTGGCCTTCGGCGGATGCAGGTACAGCAACCCAAACACCCCGCCTTGACGGACACCTTCCCTTCGTTGTAGCCATCCTCTGCATCGTAATATACTGTTTCCTTGCGTGGGTGCTCACTGGCATGGTCAGAAGTGCCAACATCCGCCCTCGCGGTTAAAAACTGGTCCTCACTGTCAATTGGGTGAGACTGTGGATCAGGTGCTGGCACATCGGTCTCCACAGGGAAGGCTTGGACATCAGTCATCCTGATGCAAAGGAAGAAGACATTGAGGGCCAACTCCGTGCCTCTAAACAGCAGTTTTGTTAAGCAACTTGCCAGGGTATTGTTTACCAACAGACAGGTTTTGTAAATAATAGAATGCAACGAAAAACAACGGCCTTGTTGTCTCTGTGACAAATGCAAACTGCACCCACTTGAATCCAAAATACTGAAAATGCTCAGCTCCCGCTTTCCCCACACCAAGGGCAACATTATGCAGGCAATGTTGTGCCCATACCTAGGACCCACCCTGATGCCCAGGCGCCCTGTGCTTGGTGTCTCTTGCAGCTCTGTGCCAATCAATCTTCCTTATGTGTTTCTGCACAACCCGAAAATCCAAAACGATTAGTAGACAACAAGAGAATTCCATGCGGAATGGCAGAATGCCAGGTTCCCCAGTGCGCCCGGTTCTCAGCACGCATGCCATGTCCTGCAAAACTTCCTTGGAAAGTTGCTTGTTAGACAGGAAGGTCAAAGGACCGATGCAAAGGAACTGGCAGCATCTGACTGCCGGTCAGGGCAGAAAACTCTAAGCACAAGTTATCGTTCCATTTCTTTCCAAGCATTGACACCAGCATTTCAACGTTCCCTGCAAGGTTCTGAGCATAAGACTCTCTACCCCGTGACAGGCTTGATCCCTTCTGACACAGGGAGCCGAAGAGCAACCGTTGCTTTCTCCTACCGTTCAACTGTGCACTGTGTTGCTGACAATCCCACACGATTTGTCGCAGATCGCCATGATGACGACCAGAGTGCCCTGACATCCCACCCCAACGCCACAAGGAGTGCTTTTCCACAGAATGCACACCTTCCCTCACTTCCCTCCACATGATCGCCAAATAGGCTGGCAGGCATGCCTCCTTTCGAGACCCAGGGCTTGTCCCAGCAACCATTAGTTAGCGAAGGCACACTCATGCGCCCCCATTCCCCTTCAACCCCATCAACGCCCACTACATGCAACGCGCGTCCACTGAAAGACACTGCCCACCTCGAGTTGAGCGAATGGGCTCCCGATCAACTAAACCACTTCCCAGCTCGCGTGTCCCCAGCGCAGGCCCTTCCCGCAAACCGTTGCACTTCCTTCCGCAATTTGCCTCCGCAGACGTCCTCAAACATTGACTTTGGCCATGCATGCCCCGACCCGCCCATGGATAGCCGTCTCACGGTCCCGCGACCCACTCACTCCCCAAAGCAACTCCAAAAAAAATCCCTAACAACCACCACGCAGCCCCAGGCTCCACCCTCGGATGCCCGCACCCACAGCACGCACCCCCCGCTCCCCTCTTTACCCGCCCATCAAATACATCCCAACCGGAGCCACGGCACATGCCCCGCCCCCACTCCCCTTCCCCTTCCCCGCCCCCACTCCCGACCCGGGGCAATGCCTCTGAACCCGCTCCGCGAATCCGAAACGAAACTGCACGTCGCCGGCCCAAAATCGTGCAGTTCGTGGCCAGCGGGGCGGACATGGCCGCCACCGCCCGCCGACCGCGCCGGTCGCCGCCCAACGCCGCGGAGCGCCCCGGGCGATGGTCCCCCCCCCCGGCCGGCGCATTTAAAAGCACGGTTCCGTGTCGAGCGCACAGCGCCCCAGGAGTTTGTCACCTGGCCGCGGCCGTCTCAGTTGGCCTTGCCGGGCCCGCGAGCCCTTTGGCGCGCCGCAAGCTTGGTGAACACGCGCTGGGCGGCGTCTTAGGGCACGGTTCGAAGGCCACAGCGGAGACAGAGGATGGAGCGTTGCGCGTCCCTGGGTGCGGCCGCGGGGGGCCAGTGCCGTGTCTCACTGCCCCCCGGATGGGACAGAGGGGCCCATTGAACCAGCCAGCGTTGCCACAGTACGCGAGCGCCAGCGCAGTAGTGTGCGGTACTGCTGCGCAGTACGGTGACAAGAGGGGGCGCACGCGCGAGCGAACGCATGACATGCTCGCTTGATGCGCGGGCAGACGATTTCTGCCTTACCAGTCTCCTTCACCCTCACCCCCACCCCCCGAAATCCCCCGTGTTCCCCACAAGACATTACACTCACAATTCTACTGGTGACCATCACCTCACTAATACAAGACCCGATAGGCGACCCACTTGAAATGTGCCCTCGCTTCGCATAGTACTTAATGCCACGACGATGGTGACTCAACCCTGAGTCAGCTCCGCTTTTCTCGTGCTCAACTCCCTCGCATCCCATAATTAACCGAAACTCACTCCCAAGGGCCACGCCCAAATAACCGTTCCCACTTGCCGCCAAACCTCCCGCCAAACCCAAGAACCGGCTTGACCGGTCCCCCTGTCTACGCCCAAGTTACAAGGATCATCCGGTTGCCCCTTGGATTCGGTGGTCAAAACTGACTCCGGGTACAGGGGCGACAGAAACCGGTATTTGATGGCCCTGAAACGGCCCAGAAAGGGGCGTGCGCCCACCCAACGTCGTCCTTGGCAGCAACTCATAAACAGGATAGTTAATTAGATTTGCGAGCCGTTGCATGCCCTGGGCAGGCGAGGCCCACGCGGCCCTGGGCCTGTGTTGGACGTGTTGGGTCCTGTGGCCACAGCTGCGGGGCGCGTCGGGGGCTGAGGCCCGCGCCCTGTTCTTGCGTTTCGGTTCCCACGTGCTTCCCGCTGCCGTCGCATGATCGATTGGTTCACTCATGGACGGACTGGGACAATGGGACGATTGACGGGCGAGAAAGAGCCCTCGAGTCCGGCATGGCGGTTTCGTGGGCGTTCCCGTGGGGATGCTGTGGCGCATGTGTGCCGTCGACGGACTTTGCTCTAGGGCCTAGGACGTGCGCCCCGGATGGGCCAGCCGCCAGCGCCCGCTCTCATTGTGACACGATCAAGCACTCCTCGCGCGAGCAGGACAGCTGAAATTCAGACATCATATTCATTATGCATGCGCCAAGGATCGGATGTTGCATGACAGCAAGAACGCATGAGGGAGGAAGAAAAGAGCACATCCAGAGATCATGAAAAGTGGACAGAGAAAACTGCGCGACCGTTGAGTTCTGCACTACGTTGCTCTTGTCTTAACTGCTGTGGATTGGTCGACAACAGCTGCGCCGATCATCGGCACCATTTATGTGACGTTGCCCAGACACACCGGACTCCATGCTTAATGGACACAGCACCGGGGCTGCGCCACCACACGCGCTCGGAAGGACGCACATCCTGTGGCCACAGGGTCTCCGTGGATGGGGCTCAACCACCGTGGGTGTGGACGCCACCGTGTGTTCGCCTCAGCTTTGCCTGTCCATCAGTCGCCCAGGCAATGGGCGGGTAGGATCAGGGCGCAGTGAAGAAAGAGAACAGGCTGGGTTCGTTCAGGCTGGGCGATTGCAGAGTGGAGCCGGGAAGACTGTCGAGGATACGATTGGCAGAAATATCTTACTGCAAGCAGGGGCTCGTGGGGACGTTTGGGCTGTCACAGTGCCACAGTCGCAAGAAACACATCGGCCAAAATGGACGGTATCGAGCCGTGTAACAATTGTGCAAAACCGTGTCAAAACGTGTAAAACTCATTGCCCCAGAGGAACAGTAACGCTCCAAGTTTGAAGGAGGATTCAACTCCTTGGGAAGTGAACCGCGCCAAAAAGCAGAGAATGTCAAGGTGACCGCAAATGCTGTGCGCACAATTCTGCGTGATGGGCGGATGGGTAGGGGCAAAGGTGGCGTGCGGGGGTGGGCGGAGAGCTCACTGTCAAAATTTCTGCGATATCCACTGCAGGACACAGGGTGCCCGATTGTGAGGGGACGTGGGCACACGGCGACCACCGTGGACGGAATTCCGCGGGTGGATTGTCTAAGATGGACAGTCCACGATGGCAGGTAATCTAGGGCTTGTAGATTAGCATTGCTGGGATCGGACGATGGGAGGTCCACCACACGATGGGAGCCCCGACCCAGTTGCTCCGGCGAGTCGCACACTCGTTACGGAGAGAGGCACGGTACCAGGAGACCCCTCTGCCTTGTGTCGCGAACGCCAGCAGATATGGCTAGGTCGTTTGACGTCGGCCAATGTCGTTTCTGCCCGTTACATGGCAGAAACCACGCCACGGATGGGGTGCTATGAATCTGAGTGATAGTGGCCTCAAGCAGGTGGTAGATTGGCCACGTGCACAACGCCTGCGGCAGCCATCCAGGTCGCTACCGTAGGCCTTGTGGCCACCTGCGCGTGCAGGCCTGCGCCCTAATGAAAGACCTTTTGAGTGCTGTCCCTGGGTGCTGCGAATGCCCGCCGCGCACCCATCTTTCGCTCCCAGCAATGGATGGCCAGGGAGCATAGCGCTGGGAACAAAGGAAAGCAGTGGCAGCCCGCTCAGAGTATTGGACGAGGCGAGGAAACGGGCGGAAGGCTTCACGAGGCGGCATGCTGGCGGAAAGTGTTGCTACGTTGCCTGGCTGTATTGTGTGTATTTGCGTAGCTCTATGAGAGCAGCATGTGATCGTACATTTAATCGTACAGTTAATCGTACATTGGGTGAACTGACATATCCAGGTAAAACTGGTGCCATTGAGGGAAGAAACACACAACCAAAATGGGCAGCAGTCTCATCTTTGTTCTGGACGAGGTGAGGAATGGGCAGAAAGACTTCAAGAGACTACAAGCCAGCAGGTGCTGCTTGCCACGGTTTTGGCTGTATTGTAAGTGATGGAAGTCTTCTTTTTACTCGATGAGAGCAGTTTTTGTGTAGCTTATTTTTGAGTGAGCTTTAATTAATACAGCCAAACTACGGCTTTGAAACAATCGATAGAGAACTGGTCATGACTGTAAACTTGTTCCATAAAGTACCCCAATGCCTCATTTGTCCAAGATTGCCTGCTGGATATCCGATTATCGACTGCAACGATTGATTTGGTTGTTTGCATGTATGCGAAACAAAATCCAAAACATGCAGCAAGTCACGGGTGCCATAAAACAATGATCGTGCAATAACAATTTATGGTTTAGATCTTAGTAATTGCTTCATCTATGTTCCACATCTCAACACCAAAAATGGCACATGCCCTGAATGAGTTCATGTGGGAGCATAAGAAAATTTGTGGCAAAAAATATATTATGTTGTAATTCACACCAAACCCCTTGCTACTTTGTTGCACACGAACTACTCACGCAATCGATCTAATATAAGCACTAGTGGCTAGACGGAGCAAAAACGTGTCAAATACCTGCCACATGTGCTGCAACATACTCGGATCTTCAATAGCCAACATGGATGCTGTGCATCATCGAGGAGACACATATAATTATGTGTAATTAGCAGCCATGCCGGAAATTCCACATGGAATCCGTGCAATTGGGTGCGTGTCCTTGGACCGACCCATATTGTTTTGGGGGGATAAAATCACACTGTCTGCCTCCCCGCGGCATCCCTGGAGACTCCCTGATCTTCGGACATAGGCGAGCCAAGGACAGGCGCACACGTTCCATACTGTTACTATATGGCAACAACACGGATACTATATGAATACACACCAAAACAATTTCGATGCTATGTATCAAAACTATATATCAACAATAAGGCTGTCAAAACCACCGTCGCGGTCGACAATCGCGCAGTACAGAACTCGGTTCCACGGCCTCTGTGTTTCGAGAGGAACGCCTCCGACCTGCCGCCACAACGGCAGCCACAGATACCCACTCTGAGCTGGGCATCTATAGTCGCAAAGTGGCCTGGTAAAGGGGCCGTTGTTTGGGGTGGCTGGCACGGGCGTGAGAAATTTGGGGCCCTTAAAAAGGGCATGTGGGTTCAAAGTAATGGGATACGACTTATACTTACCCGTTCTTCACAAAACTCTGAGAGCACGCAATAAACTCGCAGGCAGTGCTCTGACCCAGTTTTCAAGAAAAACCAGCAAGTTTGAGATACAAAGATGGCCTTCCAAACAAATTATTTCATTCAGTGAAATCAAAGTTGGACGATGAAGAATGGGCATTGTGAGCAAGGAAAGTAGTATGGAAAGTAGACTTCACTTTCAATTTGGTGTCTGGAAGGGATTCTGAGTACTATGGTCATCCAGCAGTTTCTCCAAGAAAGCATTCCCAACAACATGTTGACTTCGGCGCTGAAGGGATCCAGCCTAACAGGCACTGACTGGAAAGAATTTGGCTACAAATGCTTACATTCGCTCGCATATAAATACCCTTCCCACTCCCTCTGCATCCCTGCATATGAGTGCAAGGGACATGCCAACATTGCGCTTCAAAATAGCCATGGTCGGCTATCCCTGAAAATGCCTCGTGTATGCCCAGCCTATCAGCGTATTCGTTGCACCCAATGCCCCAAGTGTGCAAACGCCTTGCAGACATCCAGCATCAACGGCAGAAAGCTGAGAACAATGAGTTCACCGTGATGCCGCCCAGGTTGAGAAGCAGGTTCTGCAGAGCACACAACTTTCGGCGTGAAAAGCATGCCAGTGGCGACATATGAGGGCAGCATGAGACTCGTCGTGCAGCATGCAAGAAAATTTGAATACAGAGCCAAATCAAGCATATCTACTGGTGGCCTCAGAGACTGTGGGGGAATTCTGGTTATTTGTCTCTGTTCCACTGCAATACGGCGATGACAACTACTTCTGCCATCCATTTCGTTCTGCAAGCTCTGTGAGACTCTTTGCATACTGCAAAAGATGATACAACAGCCTTAGATGCAGTTTCATAACAGCCTGGCTGCAAAGGGAATTAACACTCAGCAATTCAGCACAGGTTCAGTGCACTGTGATGTGACACAATGGTAATGGCCCTCATGCCCTGCCTACCTGCGATTCGTAGAACCAAAGCGGTAGCTTCTTGCCCAATATTTGGTCTGCCACAAAGTCCGGAAGAGTGTAGAGGAACACGACCCCAACAGTGGTGCCCATCAGCGCCAAAAGTGCAGCTCGCCACAAGTTCTTGGCACCTACATATCATGACACAGTCCTTGAAAAAGAGACGATCGCAAGAAGAAGACTTACAGTAGTCTCGTTGTAAGTTCAATTTTAGATCGCGCCAGTATGTTCCATGGTGGTTGGCAAGCAGGGCATTCAGGGAGTCGATCCTCGTTTCACAGTATAGTGCCTCTCCAATACCCCACCAACCTGACAAATATTTTTGAACCAAGGACAAAAATTCAGGACACACAGTTAGAAGCATAGACACAAGTACAGTTCCACTCGTTCTAAAATTCGGATTAAGAGATGGCCCAAGCCATATACCTTGTCCCCTCTCTTCAGAGGATGAGCCAAAAAGCATGCCTCCTCCACTTGGGAACATCCTTTCAAGCTTCAAGTAGTTGATGGCACAGCACGCAACAGCAGCTGCAAGACAGAAGAGCCTCAGCATTAATCGTGCCTCCAGACGATCAACATCACAGCACACCTATTCAAGACCTTGCATGAGTGATAACTTTGCTGTGAGACAATTCAGAAAACTCCATCGACTGTGAATTCCTGTCGTCTCTTTCATTGATGAGCAACAGCCAACATTCGCTGTAAACATTGCATGGAAATGTCAAAGTGTTTCACACCTTGACAGAGCTCAAGGCCTGAGGTCTGTTTGCATTTGCAGAAGGAACCTTTTATTCCCAAAGAACTGGTCTCAATAGGTTCCACAGGAAAGCAATGGTTTCACAAAGCACTGGGTATGGCTAAAGACAGGCAATGAGCACAAGTTTGGCAAGGCAGTCAGTTCACCACACTTCTGTTTGACCGTGTGCATAATATCTAACATCTGGGTTCCAGTAACGAAGTAGAAAAAGGTGGCCACAAACACACTTTAACCTTGACTTGTGTGGAGGTGTATGGATGGCTGTTTTATTACTCTGAAAGATGCAGCTAAAGAGGACGTTCACAAATGAGGCTACTTCATTTAAAGCAACGAAGTCCTCTGCACAGGGTACAAGGTACCAGTACACTGATGATACCCAAGGTATCCTCACAGGCTATTTTTCGACAACTGTAGTTAACGATCTGCACTGTCGAGACACGCTCACAATCAATATGTAGCTGCGACTCAACTAGCACCAGTATTTCAACTATGTTGCATTGTGAGGATTCCATAACAATGTTAATTCGATTGCAATCAAAGACTTGCACCATCGGTGGCAGTGCCAGCCAGCACTGTCACTTGTCTCACATGCAATGAGAGGCTGGGTTGCTGCAGTGGTTGACAAGACTACTGCCCAACACAATAGGACAAGGTGAATGGCAGCATCTGCCATCAACAGGTTCAATGGTGCCACAGCAAGCCTACACCACAGACACAACAGCTTTTGCGTTGTTAAGGAAACGGTGGACACTAGGGTCATTGTTTTTGCACGAGACAGTGGCAGTCCCTGCTGTCTTTGCAACAAAGATAATTGTTCTTCTTACAACATCGACGGGTATGTGTCACCTCAGTGCCACATGACTGGTGAATGGTTCTTACTTCAAAGCATACACAGAGTGAACGTGTCACACAAACGGCCATCCCTGTTGCGCCACATCTTTGAGAATATTGTCTGAATTGCAAGATGCGTTGTAACATTTCTCCATGCACAGGGAGCAACAAATGACTGAGGCAGCTTACATACACATTAGTAGTGCTTTGTCCAAATTAATAAGCATTCCCCTACCTGCCACATTTGAACCTCCTGCCCTGCTGTACCCCACTTTGCAAGCAACTGTGGAGTTAGGAAAGGCTGACAAAAGATTCTAAAATGTCTAAGAAGCCAGCACCAGAAATGGGCGGCTTCTGTCCAGTGCTAGCTGTGCACAATGATCAGGCTGGCTGAATACGTCCCCTGTGGCCTGGTTCTATTGAGCTATAAGATAATTCTTGAAGTTGCCCTACTAGCTTGCATTTACGCAATCATTTTGTAAGGATGCTGCAACAGAAAAGACGTGAAGGTGCAGCAACACACCCATTCGTTCTCAAGCAAGCACTGCACCTGCACATTTAACAACATCGTTGCGCACTGCCTCTGCTGCACAGGAGGCTTAAGGGGCACGTGCACTTTATGTTCTAAACGAATGTGGTAATACAAAATCGGCCCATTTCCTCATGGCGTGGCCAAGGATGATGCATTTCGTGCACATGGGCACCTTTGGATTGCAGGCAACAGCCTCCATCGAGGCCTACAGCGTGACTGAGGTTTTGCAAAATGTGGTGGGATAATTGTGGTATGGTGTTCAGACATTGGAATCTGTGGCAATTGCAACAACCACAAAAAAGGTTGGCTGGAGGTACCGGAGGCTTAATCAATCCATGGGACAACTGAAGTCAGTAGAAGGTTAGGGATTCCTTGTCCTGTGGCAGAAATAATGCAGCAGTGTCCAGGCGCATCAGGAACAGAGTCCATGAGAAACAAAATCACCACTATGAGCACTACAAGGTGGAGAAGGGTGATACTCCTTCAAACAACAAGATTGCCTGCAATCGCAGTTTCCCAGTGGGAATGCGTACCTTGGCCTCCATGGCAGATACACGGCCTTGTCAGCAAATCTAACATCCCTGTCCACACTGCCACCCTAGAACAGCAACCATTGTCAACAGTGGCCCCAGCATGCTGAGGTCAGCTGCAACATGAAGACAGGCCATTCTTTGACCATCGACACTAGAGGGGTCTGTAGAACAATAATTTCCCAGCAGGCTCAGTCTAGTGAGGAATGTTCCTAGGCGATCAGAACGAAGCAGTCTCTTGCAGGATGCAGTGCAGAAGAACACATAACATTGGTCCTCAATTACTCAACATAATATGTTTTCACCTTTAATCTTTGGCTAAGAGCAGCCATCATTATTGCAGAATGAGCTTTTTCTATTTGCTCAACTCTTGCATCGTCCCCTGCTTCCTTTGCTTCGCGCAGCCTGTTGTTGTAAGCTTTCTGGAGGGCATCAGAGCTAGCTTTTTTGGTTGTCCCAAGAACCTGCCACACTCCCACATGGGTACCTCAACCACAATGCAGCACTATTGTTTTGTAAAAGCATCTTTATCAGTGGGTGCTATTGCACCAGCAGAGCTATCCGGCAATGGTTCTCATTGGCTGCCGTGCCACCATACAAAGGCAGCATTTGCCGAATAGCACCGGTGCTATTGCTCCCCCATGCGCATCTGCAATGGTGGTGCTATTCCTGCGCCGGATGGCATCATGGCAGCACTACAATGTTCTGTGTGAATAGTGCTGGGTGCTATTCCAGGGTGCTACTTGGCCCCAAGCAGTGCTATTGGGGCCCAGAATAGCACCGCTTTGCGCCGAATAGGATCGGCGGTGCGATTGGGGTGCTATTGCTGCCCATCCGTGAATGATGGGTTTTTGACGTGCGATGCTATTCGGATAGCCGAATAGCACCGCCGGGACAATAGCACCCACCAATAAAGATGACCTAAGTAACAGCAACAGTCATCTGTGAATGGCCCACTTGGGGGCATGTACTTACAATATCACCCAGAGAGGCAGGCAAACAGGGAGTCAGAAGGTCAACCCCAAACATGCTTAGAATAGCCGATGCTTAATTATTGAATGTAGAAGGGCAGTTCACTCAGTAAAATTGATGGCCACACTTACAATGGGAACACTGATGACTGCACACAGACAACATCTTCAGGGATCTGAAATCAAGGCAGTGCTCAAGGAAAAAGGGGAATGGCCTCTGTGAGAATTTTGTGCCAAACTTTCTTTAATTCTTCATCCCCAAGGCAACACACATGAGCGGGGGGGTGTCTGGTGATGCATACCCAATGGACAGCAGCATGAATATGCATGTTGATCATAGCACGCTCCCGTCACAGATCCAGCCTGCTGCCAGTGGCCTGGGCTGACAATGTGTGTGGTGAGGTGGGTGAAGGTTGGAAATGGGAGAGTGGAGGGCAAGCCAAACATAGGATCCAACATTCCGGACAAAAGGTGGCAGAAATTTTCTGCAAGGCAGAAGTGTGTTGTGTGGCTATGTGATGGCAACTTGAATAAAAGGAACTTTGACCCCAGGCTTGGCAAACTTCCCAAACAGATTTCAAAAAAGGGAGGGACACGCCCGCGTGCCATCTCATGCGGACGTGATCTACTAGTGAAGTGCAACCCACAAGCTTTCCAACGGTGTGGAAAACATCAAATAAGAACCCATAATCCCGTTTTTCATTCACAGTATGTGGGCACAGGCGAGCGACAGTGGCCACCGCTTTTCGTCATGGGATTGGCAGGGAAACCCCGTTCACTCCCACACAACCCATGGATCTTCTGGTCCTGAACCACCGGTCAGCGAACTGTCCATCCAATTGAGCACCCGCCCTCCCTTTCGTTCCACGCCGATAAAATCGCCCAGGTGGCTCGGATCCTGGTGGGGAACGGGAGGAGCCACCGCCCCATGTACCGATCGATGCAATTGGGGCAAGAACACAACGACGCCCGCACCTTGTAGGGATCGTCCATGGGGGGCATGCCTGCACCTGCAGCCGCGGACAGCCGCGGCGGGCTGCTCCTGTCGCTCAATCTCAAGAAGCTGATCCTTTGGCGGCCGCCCGGGGCGTTGAAGCTGGGGCGCCACGCGGCCCCACGCCAGGGGGCCGCCACCGCGCGTCCTGTGCCGCCCACCATCTCGGCCGGGACTGGACCAGTGCCAGATTGGGTTGGGGCAGGGGTACGGCAGTAGTTCTGGCAGGGGCCGTTGGAGATTGGAAGAATTGATTAGATGACGTCCGGCCAGGCAGACGTCGACAACCGATGATTCACCTGGTCTTTGTGTTTTTCCCCAGGTGTCTTTGGCAGTTGGTGTGAGCTTCATGGGTCCACGTGGGCACCCCACGATTCTGTAACCCCAGTGCGCCTAGATATTAAAGCGCAAAAACAAATTGTTGACAGGCTGGGGTTCCAGCAGGAAGCCTGAGGAGGCTGTACGCTGCTGCGGCAATGGGACATTCGCCTCAAAGATAATGCGTTGCGCGACGATGGTGGCACAAGAATGGTGAAATAAACCCGTTTGCAGCGTCGCTTCTGTTGTTGCATTCTATCGAATCATGTGTCGACCTGGCGCTCTTTCAAGGGAGCAAAACGCAAGTAACGCCCAGGAACCATGCAAACTGGGCTATTGTCCTCTTGCCCTTGCAATCGCAACGGCCCAATCGGTAGCTGGGGTGTTTACATGCTCGCCTTACTGGCCTTGAGGGAGGAGTTCGTTGACACAATTCGCCAACCATTGCAGCACATATGCAGGCAGATTGGGAAGCTCCAAGCTGTCCGTCAGCTCCCCAAGAGGAAAAGGCACAGGATCGCTGTGTACCAGCAGGAAACGTAGAAAGCACGTTGGTCTTGGGAAGCACAAAGGATTTGATGGGCATCTTGGTGGAGGGAGCCTCAGTCGGCAAGGCGTCAGCAAGTTGGGGCAAGGTCGGAGGAAAGACTGATAAAATGCACAGATTGTCGCATGCACTGGGGCACCTCAGTCTCTTGCAACAATGGGGGTTCTTCAGGTAAGCTTGCTTCGCTCGACTATCACTTTCCAGTGATGTCATCAAAGGCTGATATGGACTCTGTGAAAGGACCGCCGTTTCCGCAGTGAGGATGTGATAGTGCGACGAACACGGGATGGAAGCGGGAAAAGCGATACCAACCATGAGTGGCCATCAACTCGCAAGGCATCAGGAACAGCATGTTTACGAGCGGGAACTCAAAGCGCAAAATGCAAATGTCTGTTGCAATTCGTGGTGCAACTCATGCACCGTACTTCGTCGCCTTTCCCATCGTGTAGGCAATTCCGTACAAAAGCCTGTCCACCAGGATGGCTGCATCGCCGCCCAGCGCTCTGGCATCTCCCACATCTACCCGCTGCACGCAGTCACATCTAACAACGCCTTTGCACCTGCAGACCGTCAAGAGGGGCAGCTGGAGGTCAGCTTCGACATAATCCAAGCCGCAAAATTGAAAGCTTTGCCTGGGGCGGACCAGCTTGGGCAGTTGGCCGCCTTGCTGGCTTCCACAACCTCGTGCGTTCTCTGCCTGCGCCGTCCATGGCTCCAGCTCTCTGCCACCTTCCTCCAGGATCTGCCCCAGGGGATCGCCCTGGGAGCCCAGCACTAAACACAGGAGGACCTGGCTGCGAACCTCTTTACTTTCATTTAGAGCCAGAAGCAGGTCGTCAAGCCACTCGAGACAAGAACAAGATGCTTCAATGGGGTCTGCACTGTGGGGTCTAGATGCTGGACATCTGGCAACCTCCGTGTCTTGTGGCATCAGGCTTTCTGTTGTGGCAATTGTCTCAGACGGCGTCGCAGCTGTGTCCCTGGTGCCAGTGGTAGCAGACAGCATAGCTGCATGGGCATCAATGTGAAGCAGCAGCAAATCCAGTTCATTGTCATGCTCTTCCCTCACGTCGATTCGTGTTGGAGCTGTTGGCTGTGTGGATGCACTCTCAACACCTGGGGAAAGCAAACTACAAGTGTGTACTGATCCACTCTCGGTGGCAAGTTAAGCAGGACACGCTCAAACTCAAAAGCTTGTTTGCTCAAAACAGTAATAGAATTTCATTCATGTGCAGCAAGCTGTAATCAAATTTGTCCCTGTTGGTGCTGTGGGCAACTGCTGAACACAGCTGAATCATGCCGCAGCGGAAGCAACGTTCTTCATCCTTTGAATGTTCACTGACACCGCGCCAGTTGCAACAACATTCGATCATGACAGTGCTGTTGGTGACACCGCAGAAGCTGACAAGTCAACTACATGCTCGTGCACAGTGAAGAGTTGAACGTCAAGCAGGGTGAATTGACACTTTTTCATTGCGGCCAACTCACCCAAGTGAAAGATTAGCTGCTTAGCAACACGGCCAGCGGATGGTAGCCCGAACACTTTGTGCACAGCATAATCAGCTGGCTGTGTTGGTGCCTTTCCACAGTCAAGCACATCCAGAGAGTGGAAACCTGCCGATTCTGCCAGGAATGCGGCAGATGTCGAGTTTGACACAAATGCTGCCCGCAGCCCCATGAACCTGCAAACAACAGGGTTTCGCATCGCTGGATAGTCAGGAAGGCTGCTCACATTCTGAACCCTCTTTGACGTGTAGGGGGCCTACATGATTTGAATGATGATCTAGCGGCAAGTCAGAGCTGCCAAACAAGACAATCGTCCTTTCCATGTCTCATATGCATCCAAAGGAATGTCCATGACAACCAAAACCCAAGGGCATTCCTTTGGAAAACAAGGAGGAATACCAACATATGCAGCCTGAAGTTGCCTGCATTCCAGTCCAGCAGGACATGCACAAGCAATGGCACAGCAACTGATGCAAGAGCTGTGATGAGGCCCATCAGCACTCAGGAGATGCATGGGATATGCATCATTGATGCAATTCACCTGTCACTTAGATTGGGAATCTCCCCTTCTTTGCAAGGTTTCGACTGCCTCTCAAACTCCTGCAGGCTACAGAAAGTATCGAATTTGGGGACAGTCTCTTAAGAGCATCGATGCTAACACAGGTGAAACCAGGCTAATCCACAGCAAAAAGGAGCTCGGTACGTGCCGACGGTGGAATGATGCCCTGTGACTGCAAAACAATGCTAGCAAGCAAAACGTTGCCCACTCGTTCAGAAGTGAACCTGGATATGTTCCATTGCCCATACAACATTCGAATCTCTTTTGGAATCCAGAATTTCAACAAATTGAGGTGGGCAATCTGGGCGAGGTGCTTTGCACGGTGCGCTACATAGAAGCAAAATCTATATAATCTTACTTTGTGCAGAGCTTGTGCATGCATAAATTGTACAAGAGCTTTCCACAGTAAATACAAAGTGTGGAACTATGGCCCTTGCTGCCTTGCAGTGGTGTACAGATTGGTATTTGTGTTTGCTCACCCCTGTTGGACTGGCAGTTAAAGACAGTCACTTCTTGCAGCGCCCAGGTAGTGTGTGGAGTGGAGAGGCACATGAGCACCGCAATGTCGAACTTGCAATGGGAGAATTCATGTTGCGGTGAGGACTTGGTGTCATTTCACGCGCCCATTGCCACAGCTCACCTTGTGAATGCCCAGCAGCTGTGCTAACTGTAGCAGAGTTCCCCGCTCCTTGCCATCTGCAACGACGCAGCAATACAACCATGACTGGCGATGCAAACAAAATGGATGGCAATTTGCGATCGTCACACCAATGGGGTGTTTTGCGCCATCCCAGCCTGCTTGATGGACTATTGGAAGCAATGCGGTCGCAGCCATGCCATTCCCCCTCCTCTGCAAACTTGTTCCAGACACTCTTCCAAGCGCCAGCAGATCATTCTAAAGGTCTTCAATTGGCAGCACCCAAATTCCCAGAACGCCACAAGTGTCTGATACACCCCTTCATTTTCTGGACATAAAGTCATCAAGGTCATAAAGTACATATTCGGATTTGTAGGCTTCGTCATGGAGTTTCAGGTTTTTAAGCCTCTTTCCTTTCAGGACCTTCATCAACCCTTCAAGACGTTCATTCCAGAGTGATCTATTGTTGGACACTCCTCCAGAACGCTGAATCAACGGCAGAACAAGAGACGTGCGACCCAAGAAATACGAGGCATTCGTCCCAAACGCCGAGGCGGAGGCGGTGACCTAGAGGCTCCCGCAATGCCCGGACCTTTAAAAGTCTCCTTTCGCAGCGCCAGAAAGCCGGACGACCCATCCCTCGCCACAGCATCCAGATGCGCACACCGCACCGCCCTCCCATCCGAATCGCCCTCCTTCTCGCCCCGCGGGACGGCCTGCAGGACCCCGTCCCCGAACAGCAACAGGCACTTCGGATATCCGTCCTGTCGCGCTGCCGCATCGTCACTGGGCGGCAGCGTGGCGCAACTTTCGGCGGCCGGCAAGCAGTCGCGGCAGCCGCAGTTCACGGCCTTCCTCCGGGTCGTAGCCATGCCTAACTGAGACTCGTCAAGGCTTGCCGCACGCACACCAACGCAACCACGGAACCCCGCCACGCACACAAGCCAACACAACAGAAGTCAAGGACAGGTAGGCCCAGCATTTTAGGTACTGCACAGACGCCTTCCCCTGACGCCAAGACACCGCCACAGTTCAGTACGTACTTAACGTATACGGGGAAGACCAAGACTCGGACCAAGCACGTGAAAGATTTGCGCTGGAAGACCCCGTCTTAAGTACAGGCAGGATTTGGGACTGGGCGCTTGCGCCTGCGGCTCCGAGCCCGTACGACCCCACGGCCAGCTCGAAAGAAAGTGCCCCCGCTCGCTGATGAGTCCGCGCTCTCACTCTGCGTCACGCTGCACCGCCTGGTGCCCGACGTGAGCGGGGGCGCCCAATGGGGGTCAACTTGACCGCCGCGTGGGTCGAGATAGAGACCCTGGTGGGCAGCCTGAGGCCCCTGATACACGAGGTGAGGGCTGGGCGCGGCGCCACGCCCGCGTCGCGCACGCCTCGCCGCGCATTTTTGCATTTTGGCGCCATCCCGCCCACTCGCTCGACGCCTGACGGAGTGATGCTGCACAGATCGCGTCGGGGAAGGATGACTCGTACAACCATTGCTCACTTGCCGCCAGAGAACGTGAGTTGAACGCGCGGGACCGCCGGGAGAGGGCGGCTGTTTCGAGCCGCATGCTGCCTACCCTTGCGTGCCATGGGCCAAGCTGATGGCCTCTTTCCCTGTGTGCGGCATCTGTCCCCCGCCGTCTGCGATGATTGTTCGCTCGCCATGTTTCCGCAAAATCAGGGCTGCCGGAAGTGGGTTGCCTGTCGTGCGTTCGCAATCTAGTTTAACCGTTTCGAGTTTCTTCGAAGGCGGGAGGGAAGTCCATTTTCATTCGGCCGGGGCTGACGCCCTGCTGAAAATGGTCAGGTCTTCAGAAGGTTGTACAGCTGTGCCAGTTGGCCCGACAGGCCTCGAATCAGAGGCAGGCGCACGCCGCAAGCCAGCAGCTCCAGTGCCAGGCGGGCGTTTCTGCACCGGTCGGACCTGTGTCGCAGGCGGTGCACTCGGGAGCCGTGCGTGCCGGCGTGATCAGCGCGCCTCAGTACCAGATGCCTCTCAATCCTGACGCCTCTGCAATGCAGCAAGCGCATCTGCAGGCCTTCGCGCAGCACATGGGGATGCCACCCAGCATTCAGGCCGCCCAAGCAGGTGGGGTGGATATCTTTGATAGCACTTGTCTGTTGGGAATGGGAGTGTCCAGACATTTTCCAATGCGAGGAGAGGCTGAGTTTCCCAGCAGTGTCCGTGTCGTAGAGATTTTCTGGATCTTCAGGTACCTCTCCCGCGCCCAAGGGGCGATGGGACCCACAGTTTCAACATACCCATCTGGGATACAGCAGACTGGCCAAGTTTACCCCAGGGAAAGAAAATGGATTAAGAGATAGTGTTGAGGGCAAAACAGGTGTGCTGTTCTTTGTGCAACCTGAATGCCATCTGCTTGTAGACAGAGTACGCAACCTATCTGCAGCTCTTCCACAGTCTGTGGTGCCTTTTGGGCCACCTTGGCTTTCACTTGCAGTGCATTTGTGACTAGAATTTGCTTCGTTGTGGCAGGGTATGCTGCTAACACCATGATCCAGCAAGGACAGGCCCTGATGGGAGTCCCCCAAGCACAAGGGCCCTTTGGGCCCGGGGCCAGCGGGCCCCGTCCACTGCTCAATCCTACCAGGCCATCGAGCTGAGGCCTCAGCAGCAATTTGCTGCCACCATTGCCTCGCAAGAGAGAGGTTGCATGGCGTCTTGGACGTTGATGTTATCCTGAGTGTGATGTCAATATAGATAATGCAGCAGACACATGACACTGCTCTCTGTTGACTCATCATTTATTGGGAATAATGCCAGTCGACATTCTGTCAGGAGGGGGAATGGGGCAGCAGTGACTCAGGGCATTTCAGAGGAGAATGTGGCTTTCAGTCTTCCAAATATATCTGTGGGTATAGCTGTTGGTTGATTGTACTGCCGATGCAGTTGCAATTTGATTCAATTGCTTTTCTATCATAATTCTTGAAATTTGGGATAAGAAACACAGTCAACTTGTCAGTGATGCGACACAAGATCTTTCATGGGCAGGGCTTTTCAATAGAGACATGTAGCTCTGCATGGCGGAGAAAGGAGTGGCCTCAATAGGAGTGGCCTCAATCTGGCGAACTGTGAGTGTCTTGTTGACAGGCTATGTATTGGCTTGGCACAGCTCGCTACTGTGCAACTCACCTGCGCTGTGATCGTGACATCACATCACCTATCCTTGGGACCCAACGAGCTTTGCCAGTAGTTTTGTCCATGTTTGTTTTGAAGCTATGCATGGCTACCTGTATGATTGGTGATCTCGGAAGATGGGCGACACAGCAGCTTGGGACCAGTTTTTGCGCACTGTATTACTTAAATTAACAAGGGAGGGGGGTCAAGGCGACTCTGAACACGTCCTTGACATAACAGGTGATTGTGGGGCCAATTTTGGCTGTCTGTCAGCTCGATAATGTGCAGTGACGATGTAGCTGCAGTGTGGCATGTCAGTTGCGCAGAAACTGTACAGCAGGATGCAAATTCTTGGAGGGGCTTCATCTGCAGGAAGCCAATATAGATGAAGGAGAGACATCCATTTTCAATCCTTCTGATGATCGCCACTCAGACTGGCCCTGAATCAAGATTTCACAACTGATGCTTGAAAGCGTGTGCCTGCATGCGGCACAAACTGGCGCAAATGTGGAGCAGATCGACATGAGCCGATTGACCTTGGCCTTGAATCTTTTGGCCAAGTTTGTTTTCCCCCAACCTGCCTTGTACAAGGCCATGGCAATCCCTGCTGGAAAAGAACTTGAAGCATTGCCAATTTTCGCTTGCCATTGCTCGTAAGCGATGATGGCGCCCTTGTTGTCAAGTGAGAATTCCACTCAAACGTGTTCAAACAGCAATGAATTGACACACCACAACCACCCGCAGCTCCACGCCACAAGATGACGAAGCCTCAAGATTTTCATGGCGGGTGCAGTCTTTGCCAAAGGAAATTGCTGCAAACCAATCGTTTGTCCTCGCTTAGGGTCGCTTGATCAAAGGAGTCAATTTGGGCAGTGCATTACCCTTCTCTTCAGAAGGTCAACGACATGACTTGCACTGCCTTGCTTTCAATGTTTGTCCATTGGGACTCGGAAAGGTTCGCAGCATAGTTGACGGATGTGTTGGTTACGGAGTCTGCGGAGTAAGCTAGTTTACGGGAGGCCCGAAGGCGGGCGGGAGAAAAATACTGGTTGGGTCTTAGTACCTGTCTACCGGCAAGGGCGGGGGTCGCCCATGGGACGATCACAATGCATTGGAAATGCAAAGTTTTGGGGCACGCGTGCCGCCCGTAGTTTCTGGCAGGGTAGTGGGACGTTTGGGGCAGCGCGCGCGCACACACCTCACTTCGTTTTCTCGCTCCACCACCGTGGTGTCGCGAGCCCGGTCCCTCGGGAACTTTACTCCGATCTTTGGAAAAGATCTGCTGCGCCAGACCTCTGGTCTGTGTTTGTGTCGCATCCCCTGGAGCAGGCTATAGCCACACGCTCCACTGACCCTTCATGCCATCGGCCGACGAGATCCTCGAGAATCTGCGCGCCTTGCTCAACGCCCTTCCATCGAGTTCTTCGGGAGCAGAGGACGGCGGGCCACCAGCTACCGAGCGTTCCGACCAGTCTACGGAGTCGGACAAGGTCCTACGTGAATTGGCCACCAGATTCGGCGCTTCTACCGATCCACTGCCCACGGAGGATCGTCTGTTCCTTCACTCCGGGGCCAATATCCTTCCTGCTCGAAAGAACCCGGTGAAGCGTCCGGAAGGCGCGCAGTTTGGGGCGTGGTTCGACGTCCTTAACACCGCTGACGGCCAGCGGATTGCACAGGCGCTGGGCCCCAAGAGTGGATTCTTCGCCGAGTACTCCAATTGGGCCCCGTCAGTTTCTTTCTTCTACGACTTACTGGTGCATCTGATCGAGCTCGCTCAGTCGGAGGAGCTACAAGGCCCTGTTCGAAGCACACTGGTGGGAGTGTGCGCGGTCCTCGCCAAGGCGGTCGACCTTTCCGTCGTCACTTTGGCTCAGCGGCGTCTCCAGGCTGCGCACGCCAGTACCCCACTCGAACACGCCTGGAAGACGCTGGCAACCAGCGTTCGATTGGGTTCACAGGATTCTGAGTACACCCCCAAGCTTGTACGCGACACGACCGACAAGCTTCGGGAGCAGATTCAAAAATCCTCTTTTCGCGCCCAGGCGGACTCCCGCGAGCGGGGCCAGCAACAGACCCGCAGCGCCCATTCTTTCTGCCAAGGAAACTCGGCAGGTCACCGGCGGGGTGGCGGAGGCCGTAACCGGGGAGGGGGCCGTCGATCTTATCAGAGCGGCCGTGGAAGTCAAAGCGATCAGGGGACGTCGGGGTCTACCTCCGGCAACCCGTTTGCCGACGCTGCATGAGCTCCAAGAAGGAGCTCAGGGACATTGCGAGTGCCTTGAAGCAACTCGCCGTCCACGACAATGGGCCTTCGGACAGGCCCAACACAGCCCGGGTGCCCGACGATGGCCTACGATCAGGCGCGCCAACGGGAACGGGCAATCTACACTGCACTGGGGATCAATCCCCGCGAATTTCTGGCCAACAGAATGGCCCGCGCCATCGGCGCTTGGAGACAGATCGGCGTCTCGACGGAGGTGCTCCGCTGGATCCACCAGGGCGTCCCTGTCCACTGGCTGGCGGGACCTCCAGCCCCCTTTCACCACGGGAATTGCCGCGTGGAGGGGGCCCAGCTCACGGCCTGGACAGAGCTTTGCCGCCATTAACTGGCCACAGGGGCCATCCGTCCAGCCAGGGACCCTCGCTTTGTGTCCCGCGCATTCCTTATTCCCAAGAAGGACGGGGGCTGCCGACTCGTCGTCGATCTTCGGCACGTCAATCAGCACTGCG